TTCGAACCTTTATTTTTGATTTCTATAATCAAAGGAGAGATATCTAGATATAGTTTTTATATAAATGATATCTTTATTGATACTAAAAACTTCGATAAAATATATTTTTTTTTTATAGATCATCTTTTTTTATATATACTTTGATTTATATTCAAATTGTTTTTTAAGAAGATATATTTGTTTGAATATAAAATATTAGCTTTAAGAATAATTTATAATTCAAAAGGAATTGTTAAGATCAAAGAAAAACGAATAGATAAGATTCGAAGATAGTTTATATTAAAGGATATAAAAGATATTAGAGTTTTTCGTAGAGTTTTAGGAATTATATATCGATGGATCAAGAATTTCATTGAGATAGCCAGGTTGTTAATAAGGTTAATGAACAAGGATATCGATTAATATTGGGGAGACTCTGAACAATATTCGTTCGATCTATTCAGAGAATTCTATTCGATAGTTATCGAGATATACAGATATCAACTAGATCAGCTAATCAAGTTATACTCGGATACTTCGACGTTTGCAACGGGATATATTATTATACAAATTCAGAAAGAAATTGAAATACCGATCCTTTATAATTCATTTATATTTTCAGATGTTCAATGTAATTATAATATCTATAAACAGGAACTTTGTTTTATTATTAAATTTTCTTAGAAATTTGATTATATATTTCGGAGTTTATACTATACAAATTTTATTTTTATTGATCATCAATCAATCGTTTATTTTCTTGATTATGAGTTCCATAAAAGTATCTATACTAAATAAACTTCGAAGTTATATACACTTAATATCATTATTCAATATATCCTAAATCCCAAAAACAAGATAGTTAATACTTTATCTCGAATTATCTTTATAGATTTTAATTGTTCGAATATATTAGAATTACAAAAGATCGATAGTACCAATTTTGTAGATAATATATTATTATAGATCTGAAAAGATAATAAAGGAAATTACAAAGAATTATTCAAGAATATTTTGAAGTCTTTGTATATAAAAGAGCTAATTAAATTTATGATATTTAATATTGAAATAGAATTGTTAAACAATACAAAGGATTTATATTTTGAAAAAAGTCTGATAATTGTTTGATCGAAAGATTTATATATAAGAAATATATTAACCAATAACAATATTGATTAAATAATATCTGTTTATGAATCCTTGAAATAATTTTCAGATATCTATTGATTCCTGAAATATAAATGGTTCCTTAATAATCAAAACAGATTATAATAAACAGTTTTCAATTACAAATACTTAAGATACAAATTGTTGATAAATGAAAAAGTTTTGTATTACATTTTCAGAAATGTTTAGAAATGTTGTATACCGGAAACAGAAATTGTTTCGATATTATACAAAGCTTATAATCTATCAGATCATTTCGCTTCCCAAATATTTATTCAGAAATTATACAACATATATTAATTAATTATAACAAAAGATATTATAGATTATTGCTTTAAATACTTTCGATATACAAAGTTTAGATCTATAATTCGATTTCAAATATTATCGAAAGTTATAATCGAAGTACTTATAGATTGTTTAGAAACTGATTTTATTAATCTATTTCTACTTATTAAGATCAATAGGATTTTGTATAAATATATCTTGTTTATTATTGATTATTTCTTACAATATATATAAGCGTTTTTATATACTTCTGATATAGATATAGAAATTATTCGATATCTAGTATATCTATTTATATATTTCGGAATATCAATTGGATTCTATACAAATCCAGGTTCTCATTTTAGAATTATAATTAAAACTTATATCGAGAAATATAATATTTTATAAATAACATTATTAATTACAATCAAAAAGGTTATAGATATAATTAAATAAGCTGTTTGAATCATTCAAAATGTTCTAAGCAAATCTTTAAATAGTCCTTGTAGAATGTAAGGACTTTTGATTATGAAAGTAATGTTTGAAATTAATCATTAGAATATTTCGTATCTAGATTATTCATTATATGAAATCTTTTTCGGATTCTAATTAACAAAGAAGTTTGATTACAAGTTTCTAAATCATTATCAAGAAAATGTAATTGTATTTATATTCGCTAATACTTGTTTTGATAGCAATGAAATTTTCGATATCGAAACAATTATTTCGTTTATTGCTAACCAAAAATACATTTTACAAAACACTAGCAAATGTTCAAATACACAACAAAAGAGAAATAAAGAACAACATAATCAAAAAATATATCATAGATCCTTTACACCAGAACAATTTGTTATACTCTACAATTCCAAGATTGCTAGGCAGAAATTAAGAGCTAATTGATATGATTCGTTTATCATCATTGGATTTGGCAAGGATCACAAATATTCGTATATTATTAGATAAATCGATGAAACTCCGATTCCGAAAATATACTATAACAATCATTTGAAGCTATTTCGTTTACAAAAGGGATACTTGATTACTAAGAAGGAATACAATTTGCTGATATTTCAAAACATATATACGGAAAGCTTCTTGAAATGTTTACTGATAATAATATATCGAATTCCTAAGATAAGAAATCTATATAACGATTATCAAACCGAAAAATGCAGAGTCTCTTACAAGCCGATTAGACTTTCGTTTTGGGATCTATAATATAATTATAATATTTTGGGAATCGAAAGATTAAGAATTAAAAAGAAAGATTATTAGATAATTTAAATAAGAATAGTTTGTAGGAATATATATATTATATTGTTTATTATTAAATATAAAAGGTTGCTTTGAAAGATCAAAGGTATCGATTTACTGGATTTGTTTTGGGATCAATGTAATCGCTTCGAAGGCGTTTAGGTATAATCGTAGGGCGCGATTGGTGTATACCCGAAATTGTAACAAGGATAATTTTATCAGATCATATATATACTAGTTTAGTTTAGATCTAGTGCTGATCCGGATATAAATACCCTGTCAGTTCTATTCTTCAATCTACACCCTTACCCTCTAAAACTACTCGCTTTTCTCAATCCGCAAATATCCATAGATAATCCGCCTCATGGATTACCCATTAAACCTAAAATCCGCTTTGCAGATTATCCATTAGGACTTTGAATAATCCACCTTGTAAACGAATAACAATGAATAATTTGTAAATATTTACCAGGGGTCCGGGGGGCACAGGCCCCTAGTAAGACTTTATTATATAATTTAAAATTAGACTTTTTAATATTATAAGATTTATAATTTAAAAGTAATAAAATAAAATAAATTGAAATTATAATAGTATTTATATAAATACTTTTAATTTAAATTATTTTTATTTTTAATATTAATAATTATCTTTGTAATTGATTTTTTATTAAAGTCATATATAGTAAAGAATCAATTAGTTTTAAAACAATTTTAAAGCTTTTATTATTCTTTTAAACCAAATAAATCATTCTTTTATAAACAAAAGTAAAGATAATTTCAAATTGAATATGATTCAATGTATAAATGTTAATAAAAGATTTATTATCAGCTTGTCGATATCATAATCTTATTGTATACGAGGTTTACCCGGTGAGTGATGGAAAATAGGAAACTCGTTTAAATGAGTCGCGATCCTGACAATCTGATTGGTCTAAAATACCCCAGTAAATACCCCGGTAAATAAATCTAACAAAAAGCTTGACAAAGCAAACCTTACAACCTTAAACAAATCTAACTTGGAGCTTTTTTCAACTCAACTCAATTGAAATCATTCAATTTATCTGATTCAAATTATAATAATAATAATAATAATAATAATAATAATAATAATAATAATAATAATAATAATAATAATAATAATAATAATAATAATATTTAATTTTCAATTATCAAAAACAAGTCGATATTCTGTCTACAATATAATATTTATATTCAATATTTAAATTTATTAAAAACTTTTTAAAACTTAAATTTTTACTAGACTTTCTCGAAAAGCCAGGGGTCCGGGGGGCGCAGGCATCTGGTATTTATGAAACTATTTAATATAAATTAATTATTTATAATTAATATAATAATTTTAGGACTTTCAATTTTTTTAAAAAGTTAAAAAAAGAAGAATATTTATAAATCATTCAAAATTAAAAGATCTAGAATTCAATATATATATATAAAATTAATATTTTTATAAAGATATAATTTATAAAATTTCAATAACATTTTATAATTTAATAATATAATAATAATTATCAATCTCTTTAAATATTCTATCTTCAATAAAGCTTTTTTTTAAAATATATAATAATTAATTTATTTTTATTATATATAAAGTATTTTTTAATAATTAATTTGATATTATTTTTATATAAATCAAAAAAGAAATCAATTAAGTTACTATATTTATAAAAAATTAAAATTTAAATATTTTATTATATTAATAAAGAATAAAAAATTAAGATTATTTAAAAAAGAGACTTCTGATTGACCAATAATAATCATGTAAATAATATTACATATAATCTAGTTAATGTCTTATATTATTCTTTATTTGTAATCTAGCTCTACTTTATATAAAGAGCCCATCCTTACTTGAAACCTCTGTGTGCACGATAAATCCCCCAACCGTGCCCAACTCGGCTGGCAATAGTGCAAGATTTGCCTGGCCCGAAAAGACACCATACCAACTGCGGCGTAGACTTTGCAACTGTTGCATCGGATTGTGGGTACGGGAAGTGGGGGATTCGTAAGACCAAATGTTATAAGAACACGCCAACCAATTTCGCGAACTGTTACTACTTTCAATCACATATGCATACAATACTTCATTCCATCCTTGCCGCAAAGCATGACTGCATGAAAAACATTCCTTCAGGATCTAGATGTGTTATCCCCGTTCAAGAATGAGATGGGGTTTGAGATCGGTCCTGTTTTTAACGTCTGAATACAACAGCTCGATTAATTCCGCCACTTATACAGTTCCGTATACACATCAACGTTTGCGTCTCACCTGCCTCGAGAGGATTGATCGATCACACCCACTCGTAAAAGTAACACTCGTAGAAGTAAGTATGCGGCGGGTAATGTTCTAAAATTCTCACAAAATTCAATTGCCTTACCAAGCATACAAACCATCGCGTACTCGCATCAAACGGCTTTTCTGCTTGATCGGAAATGAAAGCGCCCCAAGTTACCATTCAATGTAAATACACAGTAACAACTTGCAGGTTCTATTCCTACTCATGAGGCGTAGTAGTTTGGGGGTTTATTTAAGTATTGGTGTACCATATCATAGCAAATTTTGGCAACATCAAAGACCAAAGCAATTGAGGTCCCATATATGGCCAATGTTTCTCGTTTATCTGCATATTCTCAGCATTATATCCTCTTCTGATTCTTCTAAATTGCTTTCATCTTGAATTAGCCATGTCCGCAACAACCTCGCTGAGCGCCGCGGCAAGTTCTGCCCAAGCCGCTGCTATTGCCGCTATTAAGGCTACCATGCTATCGGAGCCCCCACCACCCGGAGAGTTTGTTAATCTAATCGATCCACCTTCTCAAAAGGTTCCCATCATAGCAGTCTCAGTCATCTTCTTGGTCCTTACTGTAGCATTTGTTGGCTTGCGTTTGTATGCAAACTTTTTTGTGAAGCGGTCTTGGGGTGCAGAAGATTGTAAGTAGAGTGTCTTAAGTATAAGGTAGTTGCTAACCATGAATAGATTTTTGTATCATAGCAACAGTAAGATATCTTCACCTCCGTACTTTGTCTATCAATATCTTGACTAACAATGCCGGCTAGAGTCTATCAATCGCCTACGTATCATTTATTCTTGACTGTAAGTTGGCTCATTCAAAGGCCATGACTAGATCTCTGCTGAACAAACTTCAGTGGCCTGGGTCTCGAGACATATGTGGGATGTTCCTGTCATATGGTTTAGCGAAACTTATTGGAAGGTATTATCAGTTCTACTCCGTTATTATTCTTGTCTTCGACTTACAGTCCGTACAGAAACGATATGCCCAAAACAACATTGTTGCGTTCGCATTCTTATTCTCGAGAATTCCCATTCTTTTGCTTTATCTGCGAATCTTTAAATCTACTAAGAAGTTTCGTTATGCGGTATACTTTGGTTTCGCGGCAGACTTTGCTATCTATATGGTGAATGTGCCGGTGCTGGCATACTTCTGTGCTCCACGTCCTGGAGGCTCTTGGGATACACCCGACACACTCGCGAAATGTGCTCGCATCGAACCGTTGGCCATTGTCCAAGGAGCCTGCAACATTCTTCTCGATATTTATATCTTATTGCTACCTGTACAACCCATCGTCAAGCTTCAAATGCCGACTAAGTCCAAGCTTAATGTTCTCGCCGTCTTTACTACTGGTATCTTGTAAGTTACTCTGCTCATGAATCATTCCATAAACCTTTCTAGGCTAACTCTACAAAGCGCCCTCGTTGCAAGTTGTGTTAGTCTCTACTATCGCTACGAACTCACATACGGTCCTGACGTTAATTGGAACGAAGGAGCATTCGTTGCGTCGGCGTAAGTCAATATCTGTACATTATCTTCCGCCTTTGCTAATAATTAACCTAGTGTTGTCGAGATTAACGTCGCCATCATTTGTTCATCTATGCCCGCATGTCATTCATTGGTGAAACACTATTGTGGTGAAGCCGGCTTATTTGCCTCAATCCGCTCCTTATTCAGTGGTGAGAGGAGTCAAACGAGCTCCGCGGGCTCGTATGATTTGAAAGGCTCACAAACCAAGTATAATTTGTTCAGTCCTTGGCGCAAAGGAAGCAATCAGTCGTCAGAATCACAGACAAGATTGCCGGACCACGAATTCCAAGAACTGAGCGGTGGAATTGGAAAAGGCAATGACAAAAATGCGGTGGCTTGTTTTGCTGGACCAGTTGAAGCAAAACGTGATTATAGTGGTGTTGAAGGAAACATCAAGATTAAGAGATCTGTGGACGTGGAAATTGTGTGAACATTGTCAAAAAGTGTCACTAAAAATGATCACGTGAATTTGCTCGTTCCGCCCACTGGGGCTGGCGAGCTATCAAATAAGAGTGTAGTTTTTGTATCAGTAGATTAGTCGGCGAATGGTACTGAGAGTAGACTTAATAGAAATCAATGCTTTTGACGCCGTAAAGATATCGATGGGTTTGTAGTGCTAGCAGCCTTCTCTGAGTTTCTTGCATATATGGGCATAACCGAAAATATCTTGTAGACGATAATCGAGTCAAGTGGAGTGCCTTTTGGCTAGTCAGAGAACTGTATCTTGCAAGGAATTAAACTCCGTGATCGCATGTACAGTAATAGAAACGTGGCGGTTCCAGGATAAGTGAATGAGCCGAGGTTGAATTATTTACTTATAGACAGATTTATCCCTCCTACACATAGCGCAGGTATCAATAGTCATATCCATAGCAAAGCCACATTCCGGAACATCAATTATAGCATATAAAGTTTAATTGAAATCCCCATTCAGTCAACATGTGGGAACAAGTTATGATGTATGCAATCCCCCCCCCACAGAATATTTCCTCCAAGCTGAGTATTAGTACTGGAGTATGTGCTCGTATAGCGGTCCGAATTTGGCAAAATACATCTATTAGTAGTTCAGTACTATGGTTTCTCGCAGATGTAAGACCCGAGCATCGATTCCAACACTTGTATTGGCACTGATATCTCTTAGTACATCATATTCTCGCTCCTCCGCGCAGTCTACAATGCTACTCTGCATCCACTTGCCAAATTCAGCGGGCCAAAGCTCCGTGCAGGTTTTTATTTTCCGGACTTGTTAAGTTTGGCACGTGGTACGGCTATTGTAGACATAAAGAATCTCCATGATAGATACGGAGATATTGTACGGATCACCCCCGAGGCACTATCATTTGACACAGCACAGTCATGGCGTGGTAAGATATATCCAGCCGTTTACGTATTAGATGTACAAAGGAGAAATAATTCTGATAGATCCTTCCAGATATTTACGGCCTGCGAGAGGGTCGGCGTGAAATTAGACGTGATGAGAAATGGCATCTTGACCATGCAGGCAAAAGCAATATCATAGGTTTGCGAATTCCACTATTCCTGATACACTATTCAGAAGACTAATAACCTGTAGTTGCGAGTGCCACAGACCACTCTCGCATGCGGCGTACTCTCGCGCACGCATTCTCTGATGTGGCGCTGCGTGAGCAAGAGTCACTAATGACAACATACTTTGAACAGCTCATCGCGAATCTTCGGGAGAAAATAGATGGGCCAGCTGCTGGTTATGTAGATCTATGTGATTGGTACAACTTTGTTACCTTTGACATTATTGGAGACCTGTGCTTGGGAGAAGCGTTTGGAACATTGGAATCTGGAAGCTATCATTCTTGGATAGAGCAAATCCTAGTGGGGTTGAAGTTCGTGATTGTGATAAGATTTGCGCAGGCATATCCACTATTCCGCATCATTCTGGACTTGTTAATGAATTCAGTTCCAAGTATAAACAAACAAAAGCAAGCGCATATGGCCTACACAGTTAACAAACTTGAAGAGAGGTTAAAGAAGAACACAGATCGGAAGGACTTCATCAGCTATGTGAGAAACACCTCATCATGTTTAGAGAAAAGTGTCTGATTAAAGAAATAGATTCTTAGCAACAACAAAAATGGCATGAGCCGGGACGAAATAGAGGGAACAGCAACAGTGATGATTATGGCTGGTTCGGAAACCACAGCATCAGCTTTATGTGGCGCTACATACTACATGCTGAAATATCCCGAAGTACTTTTGGCAGCCACGTCCGAAGTTCGCAAAAGATTTAAGACTGTCAATGATATTGACATAGTATCTGTGAGAAACCTCCCATATTTAGACATGGTCATTGAAGAAGCCCTACGGATATACCCTCCAACACCATCTACGCTACCTCGTCGTACACGTTCGGAGGGAGAAATTATAAACGGAACTTTCATACCAGGTAATGTACGTGCCGTGTCATGTTAGAATTCCAACTATTTTTGTATACTAACAAGGTACCTCAGACTTCAGTTGGTGTGAATCATTGGGCAGCGTATCATGCGGCAAAGAACTTCGCCGATCCAGATACGTTTGATCCAGCTCGATGGAGCACGGCTCCTCCGGATAAATACAAAGATGATGAAAAGGCTGCGTTCCAACCTTTTTCGACGGGACCGAGAAACTGTCTTGGGAAGAAGTAAGTTTGGACACCATCTTAACCAAATACGAGAAGAGAAAGAAGCTGATAATAGAAACCGAAGCCTAGCCTATTTCGAAATGCGCTCAATTCTTGCACGAATGTTGTGGAATTTTGATATGGAGCTTTGCGAGGAGAGTAGACGGTGGTCAAATAGCCAGAAGACGTATATCCTATGGGATAAACCACCACTAAAAGTCAAGCTATCACATAAGAGTGTATGAATGGTTAGACTGGATGCTATATGGAGTTGATATTATCATACCCATGAGCCTACACTTATTTTGTGTAGATAGAAAAGATCGACTGTTGATAAAAATAACAAAATGAAACATAGCTTAGGGCTCTCCAACCCGGTATTTATGACTGACCCACTACTATATTCACTTCCTCCTCACCCCTTTAACCACGACCCTCACTCCTTCCCCGAGCATTCTCTCTGAAGTCCTCCCTGTGTCTCCTATCAGTTCTCCTCGAATTCCTCTCGAATTCCGCCTGATTTATGATCTCTACAGAAGCACTCTTCTCTCTCCTCTCACGACTACCATTATCTGTACTAGTATTTCTTCTAGTCAAAGATCTGTCACGAGGAATTGATCGCCAATATTCGCCTTGTGGGAGGTTGTTTTTATGGTCGTATTGTTGCTCGTATGCTCGGTCTGATGTTGGGATTCCGTTGCCATAACCTCAATGTGTGAGAGTGCTAGATTTGGTTTGATAAATATATTTAATATTTAAATTTATTATAAACTTTTTAAAACTTAAGCTTTCATTAGACTTTCTCGAAAAACTAAACCTGTTTTGCTTTTTCATTTCAAATAAAAGTTATATTCTTTTTAATCATTTCAATAAAAAACTTTATCATTTTTGAAAAATCTTTTATGAATATTTGATAGAAATTAATAAATCCTAATATGAATTATATATCATTGATATTTCTGGATTGTTTCTAGTTTTTTATTTTCTTTGTTTTTTTGAAATCTATATTTATTTATTTTGATTATATAATATATCTTAGAAACATTACTTTTCGTATTTTGAATTTGTATTTCAATAATTTGAGTTTTGAATTTACTTTTTTGAATACTTTGAATACTTTCAATATATATCCTTTGTATTCCTTTTCTTTTTAAAAGAAAATTAAAATATTATTTAGATAATAGATTACAAATAAATTAAACTTTTTAAATATTTCGTTATTCTATTATTGATATATAATTAATACATTGATTAGTCCGAATAATATAATTATATATTTCTATAAATCCAATAATAATATAAAGACTGTTTTTCATTTGTAATTATTTTTTATTTATATCAAATTGAAAGTATTTCTTTGATCTAATTTCATATAGATTATAACTTTGTTTAATTTATTCTTAAGTTTTTAAACTTTTGATATTAGATATATATTTGTAACGATCTGATCGAGGCAGCGGCTGCCTCAGGTTTTCGTATAGTTGGTAGTTGTAGATTAAGATTAATAATCATTGATTATCCATTCGAAGATGAATATATTATTAAATCAATTAGAATATAAATAAATTAATTGATAACTAAGTTGAGTATAAAGCTCTTAAATTATAAAACTATTCTGATTATATATTAATGAATATAAAAAAGCTTTATAAAACTCTAAAACTCCAAAAAGCTTTTGGAGTTCTAAAAGCTTTCGAAACTCTCAGAGCTTTTTATCATATAATTAAGATCAGACTATATATTTGAACTTATTAAAAATAAAAAAACTATATAAAACAATTACTATACAAATTTATATACAAATCGTCTTGCTTTTCGATAAAACCTAAGCTTATATAGATATATTGATTATTGCCCCTTAATATATCTTTATTTTAATCATAAATTATAATATTATCTCCTTCTTAACTAAGTATTATCCTAATCATTTATAACCTTTCAGATTTCATCTAATAATTAATGTTTTTTCTTCTTTTATATTCTATTTATTTTTTTTCCTTTACTATAAACAATTCTGATTTCTTTAATAATTTAATTTGAAGAAAGAAAAAGGAATATATATATTTAATTACAATTATTGATTCTATTAATATTGAGATAATTCCTTATTTTCATTATCGATAAAAGAATTATCGTTGTATTAAAAATCTCTTTAATAAATATCATTTGTATTATTCAGAATATATATAAAATTCCATTTTATATAATACTGAGTTTCGTTTGGAAGATGATTGAGATCATGAAATTCTTCGAAAATATAATTGGAAAAATCTTGATCAATAGATCGATAAATTGGATATTGAAATCGCTAAATCTTTTATTAAGATTATTCATTTTGTTAAACAAAAAGTGTAACTTAAAAAACAATATAATGAAATGTTACATTACAAACTCAAATATCTTAATGAACTTGATACCTTCGAAGAAAAGAAGTGAAAAGAAAAGGATAAAGAAATTCCTGCAACCCTTCTGTCGCCTTTTAATCAATTTGATCAATTAACCCTTGATCGATTTGATCAATTACTAATTGATCCTATCAACCCTAATGAAATTCCTACAAATAAATTCGATTCTTTCAACTCTTTTTTACAAAAAGCAATGAATTCCCTTTCCTTTTAGGTAAATCCGGATTCTATTGATGAAACTTTTAGAATCTTTTCAAATGTTTAATCTCTTTCTTAAATTCTTATATATTTTCGGAATTAAAATAATCTTTCTATTTTATTAAATACTTGATCTTATTTTTAATATATTTATAATCTAATATCTTTTTTATTTTGTATTCGATATTTTGATTTATAGATATAATTTCTGTTTTATAAATTTTAAATATTTCTAAGAGTATTAATTCGAATAAAGATATATAAAATACTAAATATATATTTATACTTTTTGATAACATTAATTTATAATTCAAAGATTCTTTAACTTTCTTAATTTTGAATGATTTGAGTTTCTTATAATTCAATTTTGTATTAGATCTTTTTATTTCGATATTTTTTCGAAGTAAATAAACTTTATCTTTTTTTTTTAATATTAATTTTTAATTATATTTCCAATTGTAATAATATATATTTCTTTCGATAATAAATTTCAATTTTATTATTATTTCTTTATAAACTTTTTTGAATCTTTTTATTTATACTATTGTAAATTGATTTTTTATTTTCGTAATCTTTAGTTCGTAATATATAATCAATTTGTATTTATAATTGATATAATTCAGAATGATTTGTATTGTTTTTGATATTGAATTATTATATATGAATTATATTAAAAATAAAAGTTTTATTCAATTGTTTTATTAGTAATTCATATAATATCGAAGATAAACTTTAATAATTTGGTTTATTCTTTTATTTTCTTTATTGATTTATAAATAGAATATAATAAATATTTTTCTTTTTATTTCTAATAATATTATTAAAGTAATCCAAAATTTCGATATAAAGAATTTAATTTTATTAGAAAGTATTTCCTTTAATAATTTATATACTACAATAATCTTTTTCAAAAATATTGAAATTAATATTTCTATAATTAATATTGTTTAATATAATATAAATATTAAATACTTTATTAATCTATTTATTATAACAAAAAGGTAATTGTATATTATTTTTATTATTAAATCCTTGGATTTTGATAATAAATCTATAAAATCTTATAATATTGATTTTTATAATATAGATAATATTTCAATAATATTTATTTATTTATAGAAAATATAATAAAAAGTTTTATTTCTAATATAAATATCATATTCAATAATCATTTTATTAATTATATTATAGAATCCCGGATTTCAATATTGCTTTTTGATTCTTAGATATATTTTTTGTATTCTTTGATATTTATAAATTGATAATATATATTGTTTTATAATATATTTAAAAGTGATATTATTTAATAATTATATTTTATTTCTTATTCAAAACAATTTTTCAATAATTATTGATAATTCTAATTATTTAATATCTTCTTTATTTTGTTATATTTTTATAAATTTATCCTTTCAGATCTTTATTGATTTATTTTCTATAATAACAATTTCTGTTAAATTAAAAATAAGATTTTTATTTAATAAAGATTTCAAAATCATTGTTTTCTGATAAATTTTATTATTTTTGTAACCTAATAGTTTATTTAAAATATCTATTTTTGTATTGTTTTTTCTTTTAATATATTTGATTATCAAATCAAATTCTATTAGTTTTTTAATCTATTTAATCAATCTATAATTATTCAAGATCTTAATGATAATAAAGATTTGAAGATTTATATAATTAATATAAATGATTATTAGGAATTTAATTTCTTAAAGATAGATCCTTCAATATTTTAATATTTTTATAATAATTATAAATTTCTTTTTATAAATATTGTAATTTTATTTTGTTTTATTTATCTTATTTGAATAATAAATAATAAAATGTAATTTTCTATTATCGTTTTTTTGTAAATAGATTTCTATTATATAGATATCAAAGATATTTGTTTCGATGATACTTTCTCGATTATTATAATAATTATAAAGAATAGATTCCTTTATAAATCTATCTTTGATTTCCTGAAAAGCTTATTTTATTTTTTCATTCTATATAAAAGTTATTCCTTTTTTGATTATTTCGATAAAAGATTCTATTATTTTCGAAAAATCTTTTATAAATATTCAATAGAAATTGACGAATCCTAATATAAATTGTATATCCTTAATATTCCTGAATCATTTTTAATTCCTTATCTTTTTTGTTTTCTTAGGATTTATATTCATTTGTTTTAATTGAATAATACATCTTAGGAATATTACCTTTTATATTTCAAATTTGTATTTCGATAATTTGAATCTTGAATTTATTTTTTTGAATACTTCGAGTACTTTCAATATATATCCTTTGTATTCCTTTTCTTTTTAAAAAAAGATTAGAATATTATTTAGATAATAGATTATAAATAAATTGAATTTTTTGAGTATCTCATTATTTTGTTGTTGATATATAATTAATATATTGATTAATCCGAATAATATAATTATATATTCTTATAAATTTAATAATAAAATAAAGATTATCTTTTATTTGTAACTTTCTTTTATTTATATCAAATTGAAAATGTTTCTTTAATTTAATTTCATATAAATTATAACTTTATTTAATTTATTCTTAAATTCCTAGACTTTTGGTATTAGATATATATCTTTGATTATTCTATTATTAATTCGATAATAATCTTTGTAAAATTGATTATCTAGATTATCTTTCTTAAATACTAATAATATATTAGATATATAAAAAGATTTGGATTTTCTAATTTTTTTTTTTTTTCAGTTTTGGTTTTGTATTCTTTCTATACTTATATAATATTAGAATTGTATAACCTCAACTTTTTAATAAAGAATACAAATCCCTTTTTGAAGTTGATTTTATAATCTCAAAATTTATATTCT